GCTCTTCCTTCTCTCCTTGCTTACATACTGCAGACCTTCCCTCCCCTCCCTCCTTCCCTCGCTTCCTGCTTGCCTTCAGTGGTCATCATGTGTCGCTTATTACTCAGAATGAACAGCATTAGGAGTTGGGTCCAGTGAGGAGACCAGACACAGCCCTTTGTCTAAAAGCTCTAATGTTTCCAAAGCTGAGAAGCCATGTGCAGAGAGCTCTTCCCCTGGCCGGTGTTCAGGCCCTCCATGCCTCTGCATGCTCTGTATTCTACCTACAATCTCCTTTCCTCCTTTTTTCTTTCCCACCCATTTATGATTCAAGACTCAACTCAAAGTCACCTCCTTGATCGAGTCAGCTCTTCTGTCCTTCGCTCACTCCTGTTACCAGCCTGTGCAACCATGCTGGGCACACTTTAATGGAAAGCTTGCCCTATGTGATGGCTGCCCTATGTGATGGTGATTATTCTGGGTGTCAGTTTCTTTGTCTGCCTGTCCTATAAAAGTGTGAGCTTCTTCAGGAAGGGATCATGTTTTAATTGGCTGGATAGATGTGGCATGTAGCATGAGACCTGGAACATATCTGGCAATCAATAAATACGTGTGGCATGAATAACTAAATTAATGGGTAAATATGAAACAGAATCAAGAAGTGCAAAGCTTTCTGAAGGGAAAGATAAATGCAGTGTGACATGACCGAGGGAAGGGGAGCCAGGGAAGGCTTCCTGTATGAGCAGATGTTGGTGCTGGACTTTGAGACACTAAAGTGAAATACTTCCGTATAGAGAGTGCTTATGTGTAATGAAGCACTAAACAAGGAGGAATTTTCTGCAGAGAAAACCAGGATGTTCTGGAAAGCTCTGTTTTTTTAAGACCAAATACCTGCTCTGATCTAGAATAGTACTTTACTATCTAGACTAAGCCCTCCCAAGATGATACCATCTTTAACAGGCAATGTGGAAGAGTCTGCATTTCTTCTACCCCATCCCTCCTCCAGAAAGGCTTACCTTGCCCAGGACTCCCCAAGAAACACTGCTCAGATGAAGAGGACCTTGTCTCCTGTGGCTAAGGGCCTCACCCCACCTTTTTGGCCTTGCCCACTCACCAGAAACCAATCAAACCAGAAGGTCAGTGCAGCCTGATCTGTAGGGAGTCTCAGAGTTGAGGAGCACTTCCAGGTCACGTGGCCTTGACTTTTTTCTTGGAGATCCCACAGCTGACCTGTATTCCAAGCCTTCTGACTTATGACTCTCCATGACCTCAGGCACTTGAGACTGTTAAGAGCACAGAGGGAGAGAGCCTACCTGAGGAGGCAGCATGGCGGTTTCTTCATTCCCGTGGGAGTGGGCTGAGTTCAGCCAAATCAGCAGGATTTAAAGGGGTGAGGAGGAGCTTGCTTCCTTGAGGAATGTAGGGGTATTCTTCTTTTTCTTCTTTTTCTTCTTCTTCTTCTTCTTCTTCTTCTTCTTCTTCTTCTTCTTCTTCTTCTTCTTCTCCTTCCTCTTCCTCTTCTTCATCTTCTTCCTCCTCCTCCTCCTTTTCCTCCTCCTCCTCTTCCTCCTCCTCCTCCTCCTCCTCCTCCTCCAGGAACTGAACTCACAACCTCTCACATACCAGGCACTGTGCCTCTGAGCTACATCCCTGGCCCTTCTGTCCCCTTTTCACCTCCCTCTTTACTTCTCTCCAAGGATCATCCTTTTATTGTTGGATGAGGGAGCCAGGAGTGAAAAGGAAAGTAGACATTAATTCTATTAAGTCTGTCTGTTGTTTTTCAGTGCTTCATCATCCTGAGTAGGAAAGATGAAGTCTGGGTTGGGTACAGGTCCAGCTGGTACAATCTCTGGCCCTGGATTTCTTCATGAATAAACTCAGGCACTGAACTATGTAATACTTATGGTTCCTTCCAGAGCTCCAGCTGTCTCTGACTGTGCTGATAAAATCTACTTGAAGACATAGGGTAATTTTGAGGCTCAGTGAGCAAGTGTTTGCATAGTGCTTCAGGTTGCTAAAAATGTATATGAATTTACAAGTGAGAGATCAGTAGAATTCTAATGTATTTGTATTTCCAAGTATCTATATTATGTCTATACAGTTAAGGTGGGAGAAAGCTGTAACATATTCTCTCTCTGACTGTTAGTTTCCAATTGAATGAGACACTTTCAGAGCAATCCTTTTTAACAAGTCATAAAATTAACTATGGGAAAAGATAATGTTACAGATATCGTATGGCTTTCATGCATGCACACACAGCCATACTTTGGAAGGCAATATTAGGCATCACTACGCATTAAAAATGTTTTAGTTTAAAAACACTTAATGAGGATTCCCAGATAAAACATCCCCATCTGCTGTCTTGCATGGTAGGTGATATTTTACCATTGCTCAATCATCTCCAAATCTAATTCCACCAGGAAGACTTCTAATCGCAGCTTAATTTTAGAGCAATATTCCGGCTGGCAATCAATAAGGCACTGTTGTCAAACTCGAATTTTATAGGCAACGTGGAACACGTTTCACGTTACATGCAGAGAGAGTTTCAGGACAAGAGGAGAGGCAAAGCACATCTTTGTCTTTCCTTTCCCCTGCTACATACCATCCTAGCTCACAAAAGCTTAGAAATCAGTGCCTGTGTTGTGTGAATATAAATCTCATCAATTTTACATCATCAGCACCATGAAAAAGCTACTACTCTTGGAGCAGTTTTCCTCTGCTAGCCAAATAAGTCCTCTTGAAAAAGCAAAAACAGGTCATGAGCTCAATCCCTGGTACTACTACTAATAATAATACTGAAAAAAAAGGCTGAGGATATAGCTCAGCAGCACCGCATCTGCCTGGCAAGGGCAAGGACGTGAGTTCAATCCCCAGTACAAAAAGTAAAATAAATAAATACATTAATGAAAAAATAAAAATAAACCATTCCTACTTACTCAAAAATACTTCCTCTTTCAACTTTATTTGTAACAAAAACCATTCAAAATATAGAGTTGTCTTACTCTACTTGAAGGATAAGCTGACTGGCAATGACACCAGTGTCCCACGCCATGTCCAGGGGACAGTGCGTGGTGTGGATGAGGTGAAGTCAAGGGGTGAGTTTTAAGAGCAGTCAGAATGTGTGGTGTCAGACCCTGAGTACCAAAGCAAGGATGCAGTAGAGGAGGACTGACCTGGCAGAGGTCTGATAAGATGCGCTGGGCTGAAGCATGGGCATTTCAGGAAGTTCTTGGTCTAGAACCTGTGAGAGCCTGAGGTCCACAGTGTGGGGGGCTGGCTTTGAGATGGGAAGTCCTAGTGGCTTATAGATCTGGGGAGACGGAAGCAGACCCCAGAGATTTCTGCTCTGGTGGTTCCTATATCCTCTTGACTGACTGCCCCTGTGTGGTATTTCTCTCTCTCTCATTGGACTTGGTAAAAGAAAAGATTTTGTATACCTGAAAAATTGATTCATTTCCCTATTGGAGTAGGTAAATCATAACTAATTGCCCAAGTGTGAGCTAAGGAATATAATAAGTACTTATAATACTAAGTAAACTCATTTTCAATAATAGTTTCTGTTTTCTGGCATTTTAAAATTTGATTGGATCCTCTTTCTATTGCTTTTAGTGGCCCTTGTAGATCCTGGGTGGGGTGTTCTGTTTTGTTTCAATTTTTTATTTGTCTGTTTATTTTGTTTTATTTTTAAGGTTAGTACTGGGGAATGAACCTGTGACCTTTTCACTCAGCTACGGCTCTTATTTTGAGACAGGATCTTACTGAGTTGCCCAGATTGGGCTCAAATTTGGAGTGCTCCTGCCTCCACCACTCAGAGAGCTACGATTACTGATGTGTACCTTTCATTTGTTAGAGGAGTGAAATGAGATCCCAAGAGGTGCAGTGGGAGTTTTTGTTCAAAAAGGAGATGGAATTCAAGCCTCTCGATGCCCAATGTAATTAAAAGGCTCTTTAGAAGGACTTTGAACATACCACATGCATGCAAGATGCATCTCCACACCTTTACAAAATACACTGTGATGAAGATCCCTAAGAATAGGCTTAATATGAGGGCACCATAAATATCATCATCCCCTAATAGCATGATGAACATGTGTTGAAGCTCACAATAAAATCAGAAAGGTCTTTCAAAAGATTCAAATCACTGATTATCAATCCCAGGTTACTTTTAACAACCGTGGGTCAGGCACCGTATAAGGTGCTAGCATGACAGCTCAGGAAGACAGAACCTGGTGTAGTAGACAGACAGGCAACCGGTTGACATATCAGAGGAGGAAGACCTGTAAAAGCAGGAGCCCAGGGAACTGCTAAGGAATCCATCACTTAACCTTCCTACAGAAACACAAAAGGGCTGGAAATATGCCTGTGCAGAAAGTGTTTCATAGTGGTGCTATTTTAGGGAGCCATTAAAAGGAAAAGAAGACTTGGGCAAGCAGAACACCAGGTAAGACAGACACAGAGTCCAAACTATGACACACCGCAGAGATATGTATAAGCCCACACCTACCCTGAATGGTGACTCTGGACAAAACAGAGAGAAACTGCTCTTCAACATATTCCTTCACTGGCTTCTGGGAAAGTCCAGTAACCATGCAGAGTTCATACCAACAGTGCTAGTGGCACCCTCTGGAGTTGTTCAGGGCACATCCTTTAGCACAGCATGATGGATACATGCATATATTTACTATGGAGCCAAAGACTGGGCTGAGCTGTGTTAGGAAGACAGCCAAACACCCACGCTGGCTCACTTACTCTCTCTAGTCTGGCAAGAGGAACTAAGCCCTTCCCACAGATGCTCACTCTGCATATGAGCAGTCATGGTGCTCTTTCTGGTCACAACCTTAAAGCCCTGGAGGGAAGCCTCCATTTCTCAAGGGCAGGCACAGCTCATTTTTCTTCCATCTGGACCAAACAGCTTTTCCAAAGCCCCGTGGGCTTGTTCACACATAGCTGAAGCACATCTCTTATTGATCAACAGCTCAAACAGAAAGTTCTGAAATGTGCTCTTCCTTTATCTCTGATAGGCCCTTCAGCATCATCATGCAGTTCACGAAATTTCCTACATTGCGAAGGACATCACAGATCACCGGGCCTTCGGATACGTTTGTGGGAAGGAAGGGAATCACAGATTTGTGGCCATAAAAACAGCTCAAGCGGTACGTATGCCTCTTGTCCCCGGTAGGCATCTCCTCGGGGCTCTCAGAAGCCTGCCCTGAGGTGTGACCAAGTGTCACCACCAGAAGCAGGCACTCAACTTTCTGCCTAGAAAAGATAAATGGCTTTGAAGCAAGCAAATGTGTTCAAATCCCTCGGTTTGGGATTTTTGTTGTAGCTTTTTCATAATGGGCATTTCCTAATGATTAATTATTTTTCTTCCTGATTAAGCTAGATAGAGGCATATATGTAATGTTTCCTTGTGTTCATAGCCTCATTTAAAAAGAAAATAAGAGATAACAAATAGCTGCTTTGCATAAAGCCTGCCCTAATTTTATTTTATTCGAAATCACTAATAAATAAAAGCATTGCCTTTTATGCTTGTGATTATTATGAATTTGCAAATATAATTAGTTGAAGAAATGAACTTTAGCCTAGATGCAATTTGCTAAACCAATATAAACAAGGTAGAATTAATTAAGAATGGAATGCTTTCAGTTTAATAGAAAAAGGAAAAGCTGTGGGTTGTAGCCACAAAAACAAAAATTGATGGCTGCCACTCAACATCATTCCCTTATTAATGCACCTTACACCTTTTACTCCAGGCTGAACCTGTTATTCTGGACTTGAGAGATCTCTTTCAACTCATCTATGAACTGAAGCAAAGAGAAGAGTTGGAGAAAAAGGCACAAAAGGATAAGCAGTGTGAACAAGCTGTGTACCAGGTATACCCGGGAATTTATTCTGGTGCAGAAGAGTGGGGCTTAAAACACATAGATGTGAAAACTGCCAGCATGGCCTTCTCCTCCCACTGCCAGGCAGCAATAAACAGAGATGAAAGGTTCCTGTGTAAATTACAGGCGCTCAAAGCCAGCCATCAGAAGTGGTCTCTTATTCTCTGAGATCCCACATATGTTAGAGAAAGTAAAATCTTTAATCCCAAAGAAGGTTTTGAGGAAGAAAACAAAGCCACGCAGCACCTTTGCTGTTGTTAACACAGGGGGTGGTGTGGGGCAGCTGCAGGGCTTTCACTTTTTCTGTGCTTTCTACATGAAAGACCATCAGCCTGTCCTCCCAGAGCTAGTTTCTCTACTGTCCTGTGATTTCTGAACAGAGTCTCACATCTTTTCCTTTGTGTCCTCTGCTTTTCACCGACCCTTCCTTACTGTGAAAGACAATTTTGGAAGAAGATGTTGAAGATCCTGTATACCAGGTAATTTCTGAAATGAGTCAGGGCTTCAGGGGCAGCTGTGCCTAGGCCGTGACCACCTTGTGAAAATCCCGAGGCGCACACCAAGAGTCTCTGGGGTGAGGGCTGCCAGCCCTTGCAGGAGCAAATTCCCGTCCCACTGGGGCTGTGCTGGGAACATGGGCTTGGGAGCCCTGCTTCTCCCTTCTTGCCCTGCCTTAGCCCCCTCCACAATCTGTACAAGTTTGATTCCAGAGTTGAATGTTTTTTAAGTCTTTTAAATATTCTAAGTTCACTAGAGAGGTGATGAATAATGAGGTGGCTTCTCAAAGTTAAAAATTAGAGACAGGAGCTGACATTTTGGTGACATTTGAGCACAAATTCAAAGAATGGTTTGTGAGCTTTAGCGTGACTATACAGGAAAACATCTGTGACTTCCCACGTGGCAGCCTGACCCTCTAATTACTCAGCTTCTGTCACAGGAACTGGGATGAGGACAGAGAAAGCCCAGGGACGCCTCTGCTGGGAGCCGTCCTCACTCTCCTCAGTCTAAGCCCATGGACGAGTATCTGTCCTCTCAGGCCCAAGTCTGAGCTCTGTTCCAACAGAGGTGCAGAAAAGGGGGAAGAAGCACCTCCCCCACCCATGCTTACACTTAAGGAGAGAAAGAAGGCCAAAACATTAAAAATCAAACTGACTTTTTTAATCATAAAGAAAAGAAAACCTCCATCTTATATTTCTAACTGTGGTACTTAGCTGTTGTATATACGTATGCTACATACACATTGTGTAGGGATGCATATTTTCACACAAAAAGCTGGTGCTGCTAAAATGAAGTAAAATAATATGCATGGCTTGAAGAGGAAGAATTCTAATTTGTGTGTGCTGAGCAAAAGTGAAAAAGGGGCACTCAGTGACATCCTTGCTTTTAAATGCTGAGGGTGGAGCTGTTTATAACGTGGATTAGCTCCTGCCTAAATGGCTTGCAGAGGATGACAGCAGCCTTTACAAAATGACACTTTCAAGTCTACAATGTGACTGCAGACAAACTCTTGCTCAGTATTTAAAACTAGGATGAGCAAATCTGAACTCCTTAGAGTTAATTAAATCTTGAGCTCTAGTGAGCAGATGGCGGTAACTCAGATGTAATACAAAATTTATAAAGTTCGGGTACCAGGAACTCCCATGAGGCAGCAGTACCAGCATCATCACCCATTACTGAAGCAATGTGTTGCTGAATCCAGAGGTCATATCTCCAGAACGTTGCACAGGAACCCAGGCCAAGCATGCTGAAGGGTGCACCAGCAGACCTCTGCTGTGATCCCTGGGAACAGGAACATGCACAGCTCGTTTTACTGTATGAATCTAGATGAATCTTCAAGGTGTTTTCTTGTGTACCTGTTTCATGAATGCTCACTTTGATTTGTACTCTGAATTCCAAATGCTTTTTTTCCCTTCTTTTCTTTTCTACTTCTGCCCTTTCTTTGGCTGCTCCTGTAATAGTACATTGTGTTTGAGGCTGGACATGAGCCAATCCGTGATCCTGAAACAGAAGAAAACATTTACCAGGTATAAGACTGCTTGCTTCCTACTGTCTCACGATCTCCAATAAATGCACAATGTTGTGATAGGTTTGTGGGCAATGGGGATATCTTGGTCATCTCAGTCTTGATGAAAAACCTTTGAACGCATTGACTTTTAGTTCCCCAGCAACTTACTAGTAGTTTTCATGCCTTGTTGAAATGTTTAATGGCCTATTTAGTATGGTATTTTAATTTTGAATGCATGGTAGCTCTTTTAGGGAAAAAAAAAGCCAAACATTCTACTCTAATAAAACAGCACATCAGAGGGATGTTTATCATAACATAGTAAGGTACTTCAACTTTCAGAAGCATAGACGCATCAGTTTTTTTAAAGCCAAATCCATGACTGAAAATAAGGGTAAATTCAGAAATTCTGTTTGAAAACCATATTAGGAGTATTAGTGGCATTAAAAAAAAAAGTACATCTAAAGGTTTTCTTCCGCAAAAGAAAGGGAGATTGTCTTCCCTAAAAGCAAGGTAAATTACTATTTTTAAATAGCTAGTGTGTGAACAATACTGAACATACTTTTTAGCTCATTTAATTCTCACAGACATTATAAACTATTTGAGTTCCATTTTTATAAGGGAAACCATGGTCAGATAGGTGAGCTGCTGTCTCCGGGTCATAGGACTTTTCAGAGGCAAGAGTCAAACTGAGGTCCTTGTGAAGGCAAAGCTGGGGTTATCCTCGGCTTCCCATCACAGCGCTTGAGTAATTGCAGCTTGCACATCAAATAAAACGACTGCCTGCAATTTCTCACTAATTAGATTTTTAGTCCTAATTTAAAACATAAATACTATGGGAGAAGGAAAAATTAATGTATTTAATCAGTGATTTTAATTTCCTTAATTTACTTAGTTGTGTGGTCTATTATCCTGCCTTGGGCATATATTACTTGCATAATAAAAGTATTTTCAGTTTCTATCAAATGTGTAGCATCTTAAATGACCAAATAGAATGTTATTTCTATCAACACTTTGGTTTAAACCAGCTTCATGGAATCATAATCTGTTTCTCTCGCCTACATTGTTTTATTCAAGTGGGAGGTTGCACTTTGAGGTTTTGTTCAAAGTCATCATTTACAAACTTTATCTCCTTAAAAAACAAATTTGCAATAGTCCCTGGTGTCAGATTTGAAAGCACTGTGCAACTTTGCAGTGCCTGAGCAGGAGACCAAAGAAATCGTTAACCCATCATCCTAAGAAGAGAGAGAGGCTTTGCAATACAAGAGTTCTCTGAATTCGGTCTCAGCTGTAGTTGGCAAGTCTGCACCTGCGGGGAGGCGGGAGAGTGCTGGTGTGTTGCGGAGAGCTGGCTTAGGCTGGGTTATGGTTTTGGCTCTATCACCAGCTACCCTCAGTTTGTGGTCAGGGCAAGACCTTCGCTCTCTCTGAGACTGAGTTTCTCCAGTGTTAAACCAAGGGAACAGTTTCTCTCTGACTCTCAAGTCTGTATAAGGATGAAACAAGTTCATGTGTAGATTGTGAACAAGGGGCTTTGTCACAAGTAGCAGAAGGAATCACACAAGTAGCTGTGTGATTCAGGATCTTAGCACAAGTACCAACTTAGTATGCATTCAGCATGTTAGGTTCTTTGCCCTGTCTGGGCCACAGTTTATTAATTTTTAATCTAAGGGAGGAAGACTCAAGGCTCTCTTGGGAAAGACCCTTTTCTGCACTTTGCAATGATCACCTTACCAGGAGACTGAGTCTTTAGAGAAGCACACTGGCTCACTGTACCAGGCCACTCCACTCTTAGAAATGAGGACATGACCTGACTCTGTGAATGGAGTTGAGAAGCCACATGTGTCTCACAGCATCCCCGATGGCTTGAAGCATGTTCCTACTTTACAGAGAAGAAAAATGAGGCCCACAGAGTAAGAGATCTCACAAGGTCACAGAGCTAATGAAAGGTAGAATCTGCATATGCAGCTTTCTCTGACCTCTGGAAATAAACATGAATCCTGGAGCTCTCCTCAGCTCAGCATTTCCTGACTATGAGTTTCACACTTGGATTCTGTGCATGTTTTAAGTCACTATCTGAAAATCACACTTGCTTTGACATCTTTGGCCTCCTGATGTGCTCATCTGCCCATCATTAACAAGAATGCTCCATTTAAGGGAATGCATATTTATCCCTATCTTTTGGAGAGACCTCTGGGCATTTTCCTATCCTTCCTTGCAGCTTGTCCAGGTGCAGTGCACTTAACTGTGCAGATAAGATCTGGGCCTAAGATAAGCCCAGCTTCTAAGGCCCTGCTCTTCAGAGCCTTGGTCTTCTTTTCTTTAAGGGTTGACGAGTGGCGTGTCACAGAGTCCATGTACTGTTTATTCAGCTTCAGGCTCAGCTCAGGGTGACCTCCAGTTTTATTCCTTTCCTTTTTTTCTGGAATGAGGCAAATATACCTGGAACCTAATCCCTTTTTAACCCCTTTGTGGCCTTGGGCAAAGTACATAATTTTTATATCTCAGATTCCTAGGCTATGAATTTGAGATTGTCATAGTTACCTTCTCCTCTCTAAGACACAATACCTGGTGCTCATGACTTAAAAGAGGAGAGGATTAGTTTGGTTGATTGTTTATTGAGGTTTCTGTCCATAGTCAGCTGGCACCAAGGCCAGGTGTCATGACAGAAGAGAAGGAACAGGGCAAGCAGAGAATGCAGTTTGCATCCACCATGGAAGGACCCTATTTCCAAGGACAATATGATCACTTCTCCAAATGCATGATTAATCGTAATTGTCTGTTGCTTCACTTGCCTCTGAAAAACTTACCAGTTGTCTTTGAAGCAACACAGAGCCTCATAATAGAAAGCTTTTCATGTGTGACTTAATTTTGACCCTTCCAATACTGTAGCAAGACAGGAAAAACAGATCTGAGAGCTGTCATTTGCAACCTAAGGAAGGCTACTCCACCAAGCTCAGTACTTTGGAATCTAACTTCTGCATTTTAAATACTTCATGGAGCTTCCAACATAAGCAAACCCTCTACATTCCAAGTGGACACTTTTCACATTCTGTTTTTTTAAAACTAATTCTTAATCACTCAACTTGTCAAGGATCATCAGGGCTTTCATCTTAGATCAACTTGAACTACTCCTCTACCCTAGTAAGTAGTGTGGGACTAGAGTAGCTAGTGTGCAGTACTGTGTCATGTATAGCTTTCAGGGTGATTTAACATTGATTAACTCATTCACTCAAAAAAATATATGTATGGATAGCTAGCATGTGCCAGGCACAGAGAAAGAAGCAGAAGTGACCAGGGCATGTGTCTGCCCCCAAGGAACTGATGGACACACCCTTTAGATGTTTATGAAAGTCAGATGAGGAAACTGAGGCTCAGAAAGAAAGTGACCTTTGTGTGTCACATATCCTGTGGCAGAGCCAGAATTGAGAATCAGATCTTTTGCTTTTGTTCAAGCTGAAACTTTTTTCACTGTGCATTTTAGTACTATGATAGTCTGTGTAAATTGACCTATGCAGATATGAGAGCCAGACCATACCCCTCAGCATCCATTTGATCAATGTCAAATGAGCAGAAATTTCGTTGTCTAACTAACATGTATAGGCAGGAATACGAGGGTAATAAACTATTCACTGTGCCCTCAGCAAGCTTAGCGAGCTGTGGCAATTAGATGCACAGATGGCTGCAAGGTGATGTAGTAATTCTCACCGAAGGAAAAAGCTCAGCCTGGTACCTGCTCCATCTCCCTCAGCAAAGCAAAAGGCTCCGTCTGGTAAGTCAGGAACCTTATCTATCAGGTCACATCCTTGTCTCAGGAAAGCACGTTGCATGGGACATGATAAGTACTTGATGACTTTATTTTTTTAATAAACAGATGGACCTGAATTTATCAGAATACAAACATAGGCTCCAAAGCATCCTCAAGAGGCGGGCCAGGCTTCCAAGAAGTCCTGGCTGTGATAAATCTTAAAGGACAAACAAGCAGACTGATATGTCCCTCAGGGGAGAGCCAAGTTATGCACAGTTTTGGTTTCTGGGTTGTGTGGCCTCTTCTCTATTTGCAGGGATAATTGAGAGGGCAGAAGTTTGGCGTGCTAAGTGCCATGGTAAGCAGTGAGTTACAGGGAACAGAATGCTGTTCATTTGCTCCTAAAGGGTGAGCTAGTAAAAACAAAAGTGAGGCTGGTGATTTATTGGCACTCATTATCAAGGACTCTGTAGGCATTCAGAGGATTCCTTTCATGTGGAGCCCAGTTCTCAGGAGCAAAGAAATTATATTCTTCACCAAGCACCTGCAAACTGGGTTTGTAAGAGCAGCTCTGGAAGAGCATCTTCCACTCAGCCATGCTCACTCCTAGTTCTCTGTTCTTCAAGAATGTGCACCAGCCTCTGCACATGCAGGGTGCAATGTCAGAGAGCAGGGCACGCTGGAAGCACCCAGTGTGGGGCCACCATCAAATAGCTTGCCTGACCCACTCCTGGCCAACCCACTGGTTGCCTTCCAGACCCTGGAGAGTGTGCCATGGGGACAGGTGCAGTCCTAACAGACTTGTCCTGAGCAGTCCATGGGGATGTATGTAAAACACATTCTCTGAACAGCACCCAGACATGGAAAGTGCACGGGGCATATCAGCTTATATTACGAATAGGAAATGTCTTATTGGTAGTCAGAAAGAGCAGGGTTTGGAACCAATACCTTTGAAATTTTGGGCAGAGTCCTTAACATCTCTGAGCCTCACTTTCGGCAGGCTGAAGAAGATCTGATAAAGCTAACTTTTCAGGGTTACTATAACTTCAACATGAATGAAAATGATAAAGGATCTGGAAATTTAAGCTCAGACTTGTATTCAGAGAAGAATGGCATGGTGAATCATGCCTGTCAAGCAGCTTTTCTCTCCAGTACTCTTCTATGGGAGTATTTACCTCTAAACACCACTTGCGGGGTGCCTACAGGCTAGGAAGCACTATGCCTACCCCTGGCCAGCCCCAATCTAATAGAAGGAATCACAACCGTTAGTGGTCCTGTACTCCTTTACTCTTGGCCCTGTGGTGGAGGTGTGAGCAGAGCTGCGGTAGTTGCTGGGGAAGGAATGGCTATTGAGTGCTTCCAAGCCGGAATGTCACTGTGCAGAGCAGAGCCCTTGACCGACTCACAAAAGCATTCCACACACTATTGCTAGTATCCCACAGTGTGTTCATAACATATAAGAGCAATGTACCAGTGACAAGTGAAAAGATCGCTCTGACCCATTACAGCATTATGGTTCCTGTAGGTTGTTTATTAACATCCACTTTCTCACTGGGTCCTTACAAGAACCTGAGCAAGAGGGAGTGCCGACAGGTCCCATGTCAGCACTGCCTCTTGCATATTTTTACCACCTACATGCATATGTTCACCACCAGAGAGGCCCTTGCATATAGTCTGCCAGCTCGCAGTGCAAGACTCGCCATGTTGTGCTTTAGAGTGGAACCCTTGAGTGTTTTGACCTTGTGGAATTTGATTCTTCCATAGGTTCCCACCAGCCAAAAGAAGGAAGGTGTTTATGACGTGCCAAAAAGCCAACCTGTAAGTGTAAGTACACCTTCCCTCTATTGCTCGTTCAGACGGACACTGTCTGCAGTGGTGTGAGGAAGCTGTCCTTCTGGAATGCCGGTCACAGAGCATGTGTCAGTGCTGGCGGCTCCTCAGTGGGCTGAGGGAAGGGCCAGGACTCAGGAAGGGGAGGGCTGAGCAAGGTAACCCATCTGGATGGAAGGAGGGAACCAAGAGTGGGACTCGGTGGACTTGTGCAAACCATTCTACCAGGAGTACTCCAGGGCCCAAATGGAAATGGGAATGTGTCCAGTGGAGGCTTTCCTGTATCCAGTCCAGTAGAGGATGGTGTTGTCTCTGGGGAGGAAACTGCTCACCTAATCTGTAAGTGGTTGAAACATTTCAAAAGGGCAGCAGACAAAGGGCTGGTCAAGGCTCCAGGATGTGTGTGGGTCCAGCACTGAGCAAAGCACTGTGGAGAAGGTCATGTGCGTACGTGCTGCATTAATGACGTGGTCTAGTGCATCTGGGCTCCACCAGCTGCCTTGACTCCTGAGAATCTGAGCCAGAAAGGAGAATCCTGGCTCTGTGATACTGCAAACTATTGCTATTCCCACAAGGTCCTCCAGCTGGCACTGAGAAGGGATCTCTGTGCACAACTCAGCCACACTGGTGAGCCAGGGAGAGTTCCTGAGCGGTGATATGTGTGATTTAGCCTCAGCACTTATGCAAAAGAAACTAAGGTGTCTCCTTACCATCGATCCCCCTCATCTTCTGCAGACCCTTGTGACACCAACAAAGAGCTTGTGAGGCTAAAACAGTTCCATTTGGAACATTGCTCTGAATTCTGACCTACACTATGAGAGAAACAGAGACAGAGCTGCATGTTTCAAAATAAGATGAGCAATAGGACTTAAAATCCTATTTCCCAAGGCATAGCTGATGTTCCTGGATTGTTTGTTCTGGAGAAGAAGAAGAAGAAACATAACACAGGAGAAGGGGTCTCAAGGGTCGCTGGGTGGAAGAGGAGCCATAGTGTTCTGTGTCCCACATTGTGGAACTGGCACCATTCCAGCTGAAGGACAGTGGCCTTGCTGATAGGGACAGTGGTTGGAGGTGGGAGTAGTAGCACCGAAGAGAGTAAGCACAGCCTCCCTGGAGCTGGACCGGTGCTGAGGGCCGCATGTCAGAGGACAGTCAGGCATGGGTAGAAGGATGGAAGGGTGGACCGTTGATGTGCCTTGTAAACCCAAGATTCTGTATTCTGTGAGCTCAGAGTTTTTCTGGTCAATCTCCCTTCCCCCTCTTTCCATGAGATATTTCTTGCTATTCTGCCCTCCCTGCCCATGTCTTGAGACCAACCGACTCCACCTAAACACAGTTTCTGAAACCCAGTGTATGCTGCTCTGATGAACCAGCAAGTCCCCTCTCAGCCTCCATGTGGGAACCCTGGTGAGAGAGATGCTGCTCCGGGGAAAAGCCATTTGTCCCCATGCCTTTAACACCTCAATCCCTATTTGTCAGAGAAACACAAATCTGCTCTTGGGGTTCCCACAGGGGATTCCCATTAGTTCAGCCCCATCACCCTTTCATTCAGTTTGTGTCTCCTCATGCCTCCTGGGCAGGTCTAGACACAGGAAGAAGCAAGCTCCGCTGGTGTCTTGGTTTTGGTGAATTTATGAACCATTCTGGCCACACCATCTCTGTGCTTCATGGATCTAGGAGAAGGAAATCCAAGTTCCTTAGCCTGATGTACACAGCAGACTGCAGGAGGATCCCTAGCCCAGCCTGTGGACCTCTAGTTTCCCAGGACCCCACCCCTCCCCATTCAGCAGTAACGTGGTGGCCAACTCGCCCAACGTGGTGGCGAGTTTGTGTTCTCAGAGAGACTTCTGCTCCTGCAGCTAAGCAGATCTCCCCGAATCCTGTCTGCTTCTGTTGGTAGCACTTCTTTCCCTCCCCTCCATGAGCTCCCTGAGGTCCTTTTGTTACTGAAGACAGGCATCATGTAGCTGCTCCAGAATTGTTTGATTAATTAGACAAATGGCTCCACCTTGCAGAAGGAGCTTTTGAAAATCACTGGTACTTTATTTTACAGTGAATATTCTTTTTTTCTGATTTATGAAACCGTCCTTACCTGAGGGTACTGGAAGTTTTGTATGGGCAATATCCAGGCTGTATGAATGGTCTCCAGTGACCCACATACCTGCAGCCCCTTAGTCTGGTCCCAAATGATGTGACAATCAGTTTTCATGAGTTATTTTCGTGGAGAGACAGACAGTGAGACACACAGGCCTTCTGTAGAGACAAGCGCATACTATCACATCCGAGCTCCTTCTCTTAGCACCTGGGAGGGCTGGGGTAAGTTTTCTTGTCACTGAGTCTAAGGGTTCTTATCTACTCAAAGTAGTTATTGGGCCTAATTTGAAGAGAAAATACGTTAGAATGTTGATCTCACTTACCTAAACCTCACCAATGTAACTCAGTCCTGTAGCCCTCTATCTTCCCAGCTCCGATTTCACCTTGTGGACCTCCCTCTCTGGCTGCACGTTCCCTGAGGCACCTCTGTGCTCTACAGATCCCTGCTGCAGTCTCCAGGTCTGCCCTTTCATCAGCTCCCAGCCAGAAAAACAAGCCAGAGATAATCCCATTGGTGCTGTTACGGCAGCGCCGCTGTGAGCTTCCCACAAGAGGGGAGACTGCCCTGTGACTTATTGCCCTGGGCTCACTTGGCTTCTTCTTCCTGAGACCTTCCTTAGGTCTTCACAAGTGAGAGGTGCAGCCTGGAGCTCTCCTTGAAAGGCTCCTGTCTGTCCTAAAATAAAAAGCCTGATCTTCAGAGTCAGGTTGGGCTGCTCCCTGAGGGTCCCTCAGCATCTGTTGCATCTCTCACCTTGTGTCATCATGTGCAAAATACTCTCTTTTAGCTCTTTTGCTAAAACCTCATTTTTGCAAAAACCTCAGTGGAGATCATGGATTAAGTGAAATGAGGCTGTTCCTGTGTATCACTGTGGCATGTAGACTGTCCTCACTCATCTGGAAACTGTCACCTCCACTGAGTGATGCGCACACACATCCTGGGAGAAGCCTGATTCCTCCAGAGAAGCAGGGGCCCCTGGGGAGCACCCCACACACCTCTCTGCAGAATCACAAGGGATTGTATTTCCTCTTCCTGTATCCATGTGAGCCCTGGGCCTGTGTTCCCCACAAGCCTCACTGAAATCATGTCTCCTGCAGCTCTGTTCCCTCAGCATCTACCGGTTATTTCATTCCCATTGAGGGGTGAGGTGGTGGCATTGCTCTGCAAGTGATCTAGGCTCAGATCCTTCCGTCATTGTCATCCATAGGATCTTGAGTGAGTCATCTGCTCTACTCTGCCCTTAGTCTTCCCATGTTAGAATGGTGATATGAAAACCGAATTCATACAGTTCCAACAGTGCAATTAGGTCAATATCTGTCATTCCTCAGTATGCTTTAACAGGCACTTGGTAAATGTTGCATTGAATTATTCACTGGGAGTGGTCACCTTCATGCCCTCCTCCTGCATTATGATTCATCAGGACAGGAATCAAGTCGTCATCATATGCTAATTACCAGGGGACATTGGCACAGAGCAGCCACTCCAGGAATAAGTGAATAAGTGAGTGAGTGAATGAAAAATGAGTGACTGTGTGAATGATGCAGGAATAAATGAATACCCTTAGAACCAAAACTCCTCTGTTTTTCCTGAAGTCAGATGGAAGCTGAGTTGTACTCAGCAGCTCCAGCCAGCCCCATCCTGTACTTCCTGTTTGGCAGTTTATCTCCTGGCCTCTTCTGCCTGCAAGCCCTGTTTCCTTTGCAGCTGGGATCGCTGAACTGACAGATGGCTTCTGAACACATGTGCAAATGCAAACGCCTATACACACCTGTGTTCACTCTCTTCCTGCACCAGGTGAAGCCAAAAATGTTTTGCTTGCTTGACAGAATTATTTTTGAGGTTTGGTTTGGTTTCACTTTCCTGCCTGGAATTGGACATTTCCTACTGAAAGGAATCTATGGAAAGTGTTCAAGGTTGTCAGGATTCTTTATTTTTCCAGGAGAAGAACCTGTACATTTGCAACTGGAGGGATGCAGTGTGATAGACTTAGGATCAGGGTAGCCCTCCTCCTGAGAAGCCCTGTGATTAGTTCATGTGTCACACAAGAGGGTGGAGACCGGACCTGGGACCAGTGAGTTTGCCAGACTGCTCTGAAAATCAATTTAATCCTTGGAGTTTGAGAGGAGATCCAGATCCCTCTTGCCTTGACTCGGATCATGTAACACTGGAAATGACAGTTACATAGTGTACTCCTCAAGTTACACTTAGCTATAGACTTTGCTTTTAGACAATTAATATACATAGCATTATGAAATGAGAAAGAGAAAAGGAGGGAGGTGGAACCCTCCCATTCAACTGCTTATCTTCTTCCTACCCTGTGGTAGCCCTGAAAACTTCTGTATTCTGAGTAGAACAGAGAAAAACAGTACCTGAGTACCTGCCCTATAGTGACTGAGGAGGGTACAAGGAACACTGGCCAACCGGATGCTCACCCAGAAACCAGTGCTTCAAGATTTTTAGAATTTAGTAAATTGACATAATACTGTGAGTATATGTCATATAATGTATATATAAATATATCAGATTGAACATTTCTCAATTTTCTTTGGCTTAAAACTCTTTATCTTCTCATATAAAATGCATCTTAATTTGAGAATCATCCCACCAGAGACTTGTTGAAAAAGATGCCTGTAAGCTATGGATGTGAAGCAATCCATAGCAAACTCAGTGGTGCAACAGTGCCGCACTTATTACACTCACAAGTGTGCATGTCCTTGGCATGACCTTCCAGTATCCGCTCTCCCTTGAGCTCCTAACTTTTGTGCCTGTGGTCGTGTGGGTGTGGGCAGCTCTGGGTGGCTTCTCTGGGTTTGCTCACATACTCAGGGTTTGGCTGGCTCTGGAGTGGTCCTGATGGCTTCAGAGGGGGCAAGAGGAGCATCTTTCATGTAGTATCTTC